AAAGAATCTTTGGGTTATCTCAAATCATGCACTTATATGTCCAGAACAAAGAATCTTTGGGTTATCTCAAATCATGCACTTATATGTCCAGAACAAATATTGTTGTGATTGGGACTATAGGTTGATTAGATGAAAGCTTTTTAATGTACAGACAGTACCATAAACTGTATCTGCCAAAGGTCTTAGTTTGACCAGTGAAGTTCCAGCTTAGGACAGATCAAACAGCAGCAATAATCAACAATCTAGAAAAATTGCCATTCTTTTAGAGGGTAAGGAAGAAGAGCTGAAATTTCAACAAGTGACTTCCAGCATGCTGTTGCTGCTATCACCATAGACATAATGTTACTGTTGTACAGAAAGCTTTAGGCCAGACAAGAGGCAATCCCATCACAGCAAGGTAACAAGGATGTGTTACTACAAAACTATTTGGGCATGTAAATATCCTACTGCTGATTTATCTGTGTTTTTGGTATGGCATGTTATTACTCACAGTATTCCTAATACACAAAAATCTGTAATATAAACAGATTGCACCCCCTGTTCTGAGCTAGGCTTCCTTAACAAGTATGAAGCAGAGTCTGGGTCCCAGCAAAACCTCTTTTATTTACACTACTGTGAAGTCCTTTCATTCACAGTCAGCAAGGCTTGACAAACAGTCTTTCAGAGGAATAGTTATCAACACGAACCTTATCTCGCTTGGTGAGCTGCCAGATAACTATTTTCCAAACACAGGGCAAGGCAACACTTGGCACAGAGTCTCTTCTAATCACATACAGAACTTTCAGTCTTGAAACGACTGAAGGAACAAATTGTTTCCTGCAAAAGTCCACTCCCCGTTCACTCCTCTTTTGTTTCCTATGGGAGGGGCCAATCACCTCCAAGGTGTGACTTTACTCTCAAGTCGACCTTGCTTTCTTAGTTGTTCTTGTCTTCTGGCAGCTCTGCCCATGCACACACTGGGAACAGGCTCCAGCTGTCCTCTGCCTCACTACTGTCTAACTCCCTCTCTGCTTTCGATGCAGAACCCTTGTCTGAGCTTCCCTCAGCCCCCAGGACTGGCCCATGTTCCTCCC